TGTTTTTGTGAACTATCTTTGCAGCACTGAGGGGAAAAAAAAATAATCACAAGAAGTGGATATTTGGGAAGCACAGCTACGTAGTCAGTGTACGAGTATTTGAAGTTTTATGGGTGTTAAGAGTTTTTTCCTCCTTTCTTTGCTCCAACATTTCCGTAGCTCGCATATCAGGTTTTCACTAAAAGATGGATTACCAGTTTTAAAAATGTTGTTGTGCCATATTTTATTTATCCTTATGCATTATAAATATATATCTATTTAGACTGAATATTGCAGTAAAAGATGCTATTGTTGCGAACTTCAGGGCTTAAACCCCAGACAAAAAAGAATGGGAACTACTTCTCCAGTGTATTTGCTGTTTGCGACCCTCGTGCTGAAGAGGTTTCGTAAGTTTTTATAGTTTAAAATCACATCTTAAAATTCCAAGTTTTACCACGTTAACCCTGAAGTTCTCAAGTGTTGTGATCCTTTGGCTTTTTCAAGGTACATCTGGTGGCTTTTCTGGTGCGGTCGAATCGTTCTTTAGCAAGGTCTTGTTTCTGGAGTTGATGAGGAAAAGGTGGAATGGGTTGATCCATCCTGCTTGGCTTTTTTAACCTATTAATCTTTTAAGCGATCAATTTCAAATTAAAAAAAAAAACCACCAACTTTTTAGGTCTCTGTTCTACATAAACTTTTTAGGAGTGAGAGCCTGCCCTCGCTGAGTGGGACTTTGATGGGGAAAGCGGTAGATTATGAGGTTGCTGTTGCTCAGGAATTGATAAGTAAACTTTTAACTACTAATAAAAATCCATTTTTCAATGGATTTTTTAAAAAACCCATTTTCTTAGAACAGTGATATGGGATGTTTCCTAGTGAATAGGAATTAGTTTATATAATTTAGCCTCTTAAACTGAATTATTTAAAATTCAAACTTCCCCTAATTTATCTTTTTTTTGTTTGGTTGGGTTTTTTTTGTTTGTGTTTTTTTTTTTTTATACCGGTAAGTTGTCCTGTCATTCCTTTCATTCTTCCATAGAAGTAGCGTGAATTCTTCTGGTGTGTATATATGTATGTATAATATATATATTTCCACCCTGCCTTTCTAATTCTCCGCGATGTAAGAGTTAGTTTTATCTCCCCTCCCTCCACTTAATTTCTTGTGTCTTTACCTTGATTTGTAATTGAAACGATGCTTTGAAGTTTGGTCTTTATATTAAAGTGTATGTATTTTAATACACCGTCCTGTTGTGGAGTTTCACTGCTTCAGCAGGGCAGGTGCCACCAGGCCACGGCACGCGGCGGCCGCCGAGGAGACGAGACGTTCTGGGGCAGCGGCCGGGCCAAGCCGGGGCACAGACCGCTGCGCCAATTCGCCTCTGGCCAAGCTGCGGACAGTTTGGCTCTCGGGGCTCAGCATGCAGGTGACGGGACAAACCCACCCTCGTGACAGTGCCCGTCTCCCCTTTTAGCCCGTAATTTCACCAGCATGAAACAGACCGGCCAGGCCATGGATTTAAACCTCGGCAGCGATGGCCAAGCTCATTCGCTGTGGGATTGTTAAAATGAGATGAAGGCTCTGTGTCACCGAACGCGTGCACAGCTCACGGCTCTCGGTGGGTTTGTAGGTGTTGGAAACGGGTCGCAGCCACAGTCTGACCCATCTCAGCTTCCTAAACACGTTTGTCACTCAAACCACTGCCAAGCGCTCGGCTCCAGTCACGAAAAGCCTCTAACAGATGACATTGTGGAGCCGTCTGGAGGAGGTGCTTTGCCTCCAACTACCGCTCCGTCTCGTGGGCCTGAAGGCGCTGTCTCTTCACAGCATCTGCCGCAGTGCAGCTCGTAGCTCCTCCGCGGGTGCTGACAGCCGCAACACCTCCTCCAGCGCAGTGCCATGGCGCGGGCACGGCGGCCACCCAGAGCCCGCTACAGCCACCTCTCCCCAGCGAAGGCGGTGGTTTCTTACAACAGCTCTGAGTGCCATGAAGATTAAAACAAGTTTTTATTGCCAGTGTTTACTGTACAACAGATAAATGGCTTCAGTACGCGTTCAGGGAGGCTGCAGACAGCGCTCGTTGGAACAGGCCACTGAAATACAAAAAGCGTAGTGACCAGAGTGTGAAAAAATGAACAATTGTCTATAAATCACCAGCAGTTGATGCAAAGTGTGTAGAAGTACCATCTTCCCTTACTCCTGAAACCTCACCCAGTGTCCCCGTGCTATTCCAGAAGTTGATCTAAGTAAGTTACTGGGCCTGGCGCCGGCCCGCGTAACTCTTCACAGCATTTGTCTTACATTCAGATAAGAAATGTCATTGTTGCCTCTTAAAGAAGTGTTGGATTATCTCTCGCTCACCCAACTGTTCCCTATAACATCTAAAAAAAAAACAAACCTAAAAATGCCCATTGTATGTACAGTGAAGGTGGTGGGTGTCAGCTCTGCCTTCGGAGAGGACACGAGCTGTAGTCCGGGAAGGCAGACGGCTGAGAACCGTTAGGTGCTGATGGTGGCCGGCAGAAACGGCGCGCCTCGCTGTAGCACTAGAACTTTGTCTGCTAGAAATGACCGAATGTCGGCAGAATTCCCAGGGCTTTGTTTGTAGGCGTGCTGACTTTGCATATTGGAGAAGTCACTAATGGTGACCTTCGGGGAGCCAAGGAAGGACGCGGAAGTTCTGCCCCTGGAACTGGCTGGCAGGAGCTGCCGAAGCGTTCGCTGCTGGTAAGCCAACGCGGCGGCCAGAGAGCTGTGCTACCTGCGGCAGGGGAGCTCTGCTCCGCTCGGCCCCCGCTACAGGAGAGGAAGCGGCTCTGGTTATCCTGCCGCCGAGCCTGGAGCGCGTCCATCTATCCATCCGTCCGCTCTCGAGCGACCAGACAGACGAGTCTCTTTTTCACAGTAAGTAAAGCTGCTGCGTACCCCACCGGCATGGCAGGAACATGCCTCTGCACTGAGGTAAAGCAGAGTAGGCTTGTGAGGATTAAAATGCACTTTAAAGTCATCTGAGGACACTAATTCCCTAAAGCACAAGCTCTTGTATGTTCCTGCTTTTAATCCCTCATCGCTGCTTCTACTGGAGTCGCCATCTGTCTCCAAAACTGCTCTATTTTCTGCTTCCACCCTCTCATGCCCTCAGTTTATTATGCAGGACAGCTGCCCCTCTGCTTATTTTTTTGGTAATTTCTGGAGCAAGCACCTGGAACCATTGGAGGGAAAGGAAAAATCTTGGCTTTGAGGTTAAAAATAAAGCATCAGTGCCATCTGCCACTCTCCTGGTACCCAGCAGCATGAGGTAAAGAGGGAAGGGCAGTCCACTAAAGCCTGCAATATGGGCTCTCCTTTCGGTGTCGATTCCCAGCCAAAGGGGAAGAGACCCAAAACTTCCCTTCAAGCCCAGGTCACAGCCCGGGCTGCTCCACCCCACCGCGCTGACCACGGGCTGGTGAGCTGCAGAGCTGCCTTCCTGCGAGCCGAAAGCCGCAAACCCCCAAAGCTCAGGCCACGCTCTCCTGCTGCCTTCACCTGCCCCAGCAGCGAGCAGAGTTCCTTCTGGCATCAGCTGTCTGACACTGTTACCTGGGACCTTCCCAAGGGGCCTTTCCTGGAGCTCTTCCTGGTCTAGTTCCAGGGGAGCTGCTGCAGCTGCATCCCATCAGGAAACTGGGTCTCCTGCTGCCCTGGGTGCAGCTGTGGGGAGCGTCTGTCTGTCCCTCATCGTTGGGTGCAGTTTTCCTTCCAGCAGCCCGAGCGATGGCTGAAGGTGCAGAGTCTCCAGGAGAGACTTTGTTCCCTAACGCTTATCTCTTCGGTGCAGGAGCCCCAGGGAAGGCAGCCCTTGTTCCCGGCAGCTCGCTGTGACCTTGGCACGCAGTTTTCTGGTCTTTCCCTTTGGACGCTCACAAAGGGGAGAAAAGCTGCAGCAATGGCTCAGGGAGTGAAGTGTTACTGCTCAGCCTTCACCTGCTCCCCGGGCCTTAACTTCTGCACGCCCTGAAGCTCAAACATCCGGCCAGAGCGGAGCAGTCCCTGTCTTTACAAACCCCTCCATCTGGCCTTCCTCTCTGGGAAGGTAACTGCCCAGCTTAGCCCAGCCCACACCGCTGCTGAGGGAGCGCATCACAACACAGCTCGCAGCCCTCTCTTCACTCCCTCCTGCTTTGCAGCTTTCTTCTCGAATGCCATTTCTGAGAGTGCTCTAATGGTTTGGAGTGTGGGCTTCAGCGTGCCTCTAGGGATTAGCACCACCTACCCAGAGAAGGGAAAAGAAGAAAACAACCCCCAGAGGCAGGTGGTAGTGGCTGCAGACACTGCTGCCTTGACACAGGGGAGCGCGTTCCCCCTCCCCTTCAGCCTGAGCGGTGGCTGAGTTCTCCCCGTGTTAAAGGAAAGCTTCCCCCTCCTCCTTGCTCCACAGCTTGGCCATCAGGCTCTGCAAGCAGGTCTCAGCAACCGAAATGGCTTTGGAATGAACACGAGGGCATGACAGGGTTAACCCTGCAAGCACGGCAATGCAGTCAGTTGGAGCATCCTCTTACAGCAGGGAGATGAACAACCCTCCATGGCTGCCTTGACTGCAGGAAGATCCTGAGCCATGAAAGCTGAGTAGCTCCCTGTGGGAGAGGGACAGGGAGAAAGAGGAGGGCCACAGCTGGCTCAGGGGCTGCCCCAGAAGCTGCAGGCCAGTAGGTGCTGGGAGCTCTGTTCAGTCCCTGCCTCCCCTGCTCTCCCTAGGGGCCAGGGTGCTTTTGCTCCCACCACCGCAGCAGCACCGTGTCAGCTCAAGGGCACGGTCTGCAGGGAGCAGTTAAGACCGGCTGCCTCCACAGGTGGGGCAAGTGGGAATGTGCAATGAATTTCCTTTAAAAAAAAAAAATTATAGAAAATTATTTGGCTAATAAATTAAAAAGTCACTTGGTCACCGCTGTGGGGAACTGGTGCTGTTCTTCCGGGGGGAGCTTGGGGGTGACCCTCTGGGGCGAGCGCAGGGCCAGAAGTCAGTTCAGCCCAGGTGAGGGGATTATTGCTTGCGCGTTCCCAGCTGGAAGCGGGCTTCCTCGGAGATCCCGTACTGCTCCAGGGGGTCCTGCAGCAAGAGCACAGGGAAGGCAACAGTGAGCCGCAGCCAAGGGGGGAGGCCGGCAGGACTGTCCCTCAACCAGCCTGCAGTTCGGCGCTGGGCTGAGTGCTGATTCCCAGTCGTGTGCCGGATTTACCCCGGTCGAGCCCCTGGCTGCTGCGTCTGGTGCAGAACGTCACGCAGCCCTTGAGGAGGAGGCAGCAGGTAACCAAGGTTCGTGGGCTGCAGTCTGTCCACTCTGCTTAGGATGCTCTGAGGAGCCTTGCAGAGGTGTGAGCAGCATCTCAAACCACGTACACTCTGATGTGGCCAGGGCTGCCCGTGAACTCTTCCAGAGTGGGAGTCCGGGCTAGCCCAGGCCAGACCTGTCCGGCTACAAAGCTTGGGCTGCTCCACCACTGGAAGGGTGTGCCTACAAGGGCCGGAGCTGAGCACAACACAGGCTCCTTGGCAGAGGAAGACCCTCAGGTCTGGCTGTTGAGACCGCGGCTTCAGGAACTGGCTTACTACGAGATCTCTTTCATACATGTGGCAGCAAACAGCCTTGTGCAGGGCAATTGGCAGGACCTGAGATCGCCAGCCCCTGCTCCAGTCCAAACCCATCAGTCGCCACTTGACAGGCCGACTTCAAGGGACTCACCTTCCCTGTCATTTTCTGGATCTCATTCCGGTAGAAAATCAAGCTCCTCCTCATGAACTCATAGCTGTAAGACAAGAACAGACCATGCCACAGGCTGACCAGAAAAGGATGTGGAGAAGTTTCAGATGCTATTTAGAGCTGAAGGGAAGCTTGCTTGGGAGGAGATGACCGCTTTCCTCCCTGCACTCACCACAAGCTGATCCCAGAACACAAACGGCACAGAGCATACAACGCAGACCTCACGCTAGTGGCTCTTCCTACCTGGCTCTCTTGAGTGCCTCGATCCACTCCTGACACTGCTCTTCACTGTCACATTCAAAGCAGTATTTCCTCTCCGGCTCCTCCACGAAACCTGCCAGAGATAAGGAAAAGGCTCAAGGGAGGTCCTGGCAGAGCTGCCCGTGCTCAACTGTCTCCCTCCCCAGCAATAGCCAGACTCTGCCAGGCCACAATTAGCGTCTCTGTTCAACTAAGATGATCTGTGAACGAGCTGGTAACCCAGGGCTCTGCCCCCTCTCCCACAGCCCGGGTGGCTCCTGGCGGGCCCGGAGCAGCTGCCCACAGTGTTTGTCAGCTTAGAGCAGCCAAAGACTTCGAAGTTTGTCAGCTTAGAGCAGCCAAAGACTTCGAAGAGGAAAGAGCGGCTTCTCAAACTGAGAGCGACAGCTCAGAACTGAACCAGACCAACACGGCCAGATTCGGGACTGAAACGCCTTGAGCCTCCTTGCAATCAGTCACCAGAGATTTAGTAACCAAAGCGGAAAATGGCCCCGGGGAAGTGATTTTGATATATGCAGAGGGCAGCCATCTGAGGAGTTAATCGCACTCGCAGAAGGCGCTGACCTGTCTTTGCTCGAGGCTTTGGGGCATTTGGTACTGTGCACAGTGGAAAGCAAGTCCCCATGCAACTCCAGTTCTTTACCAAGACAGAATCAGGACATCTAATTAATTACATTGTCCCCAGAGCTCTGCTCTTTAGTACACAGTCCACAGAGATCCAGGCTGCTGCTGTGAAATAACTGGGTCAGACTGCAGCAAACCCCTCAGGGCTGCTGTGTGGGGACACAACCTGACACCAACTGCTGTCAGTTTTAACACTTTTCTCATGAATCCTCATACACCAGAGCCCCCAACAGTCCTAAACCCCCCGAAATTCAGAGTGCGGTGCTTAGAGAGATTGCTACGTTCAGGCAGTTTGAGGGTCCTTTGGAGACAGCGAGAACACCATGTCTCCCAGCTAAAAGAGGAGACAAGGCTCTGCACAGAAAAGCAGCTGTGCCAGACAACCAGGCCAAAAGATATGGGGATGGCCTTGGAGAAACATCCTGTTATTTTTGCCACATACCTCTTGCACAATGATTAGTTGTTGGATGAAAGGCTGCTTACAAAGGACGACACACCACGAGCCAGCTGGAGCCACGGCTATCAACACAAGGACAAACAGCGTGGCGGGAGGACTGGTGCTAGATTAGCCTGACAGATGGTTTATCTGAGGCTCGCTTCTTTTTGATAAAGTGCAATAGCACAGAAGCAGCAATCTGTCAATACCAAACCCTCCCAGAGAGGGATTTCCACAAGCACTGAGCCGTGGTCTGTCTGTTCTTACTGCTTCTCTCCTCACATGCAGCTGTGCAAATCACACAGACACTTTCAGCCAGCAATGAAATACGGCCGTCCTCGGGATGGGGGACAGCAGCGCTGGAGTAACAACCGGCAGCTGAGCAGGAGAAGGGCTGAGGAGCACTAACCCCACTGTTAGCAAAGAAACCGAGGGAAAAGCAGGAACTAAGCAGTACATTTCCTTTTACGTAGCACTATTTGCCATAAGGGGAACGCAAAGAGAATGCACACGCAGAACTCACTGATTGAGAAGACGTTCTCCTCCTCTTTGGTGATCCTGCAGTGCTCCAGCAGCAGAGCTCCAATGGGCTGGAAAAGACCCGGAGAGAAGGTTTAACCCACGTCGTCCACCAGTGTGACACTGCTCTGAACCCAGAGTTTTCCTTTCAGTGCCTTTTAAGCACATTTCATAACCTGGTGCTATTTTTAATGTAATTCAGTCTAAGTGTATGAATGTTCCATATTCTTTTAATCAACCTTTTTGTGTCTGCTGACATGCTACATTGTGCTGGTCTTACCTGTAACACTTTGCATACATTAATTAGGTGTTCAACTTTTCTACTTGCTCAGATTCCATCTGGGCTTTAGCATTTATTTCTGTGACGTAAAGACAGCGAAGAAGCGTACTTCCTTGCCCAGTAAATCCAACAAAGATGAAATATTTAACATGACACACAGAACAACTCACATTGTACTTTGTAAGAGCGCTCCTGAAACCTTGCAAGAGGTTAACAACAGCGTGTTGATGAACTAGAACAGCTCAGGCTAAACAAACCAACGGTAGGTACTATTTGCTAGCAGCGCACACTGAGCAAGGACACGAGGAAGCAAAGGGTGATACAAGCCACAAACAAAAGCAAGCCACAAGCAAATTCTTTCGTCCAAGCTAAACAAAATGCGAGAGGCAAATGAGGGAGCAGGGAAGATACTGAAAAACCTGGTTTACTATGCGTTGCTGACACAACGGTTTTACATTAGCACCCTCCACCTACCTGCAGAACTATTTTTGATCCATTCAAGACCACCCCCTCCCCTCCATCAGAACACACGAGTGCTTACAAATAACCACCAGAAAAGAAGAGAGCAGAGCAGCAGCGAAGGAGGCATGCTGTGTCCTCAGAGCCTCGTCCTACACCAACGCAGGAGCCACAGGCACGTGCCAGAGCGACCGCTCAGCGTCTCGGCCCCACCCAGAGAACGGCAACTGCAGCTCTAGCGAAGCAGCGATTAGTGACTGCGCTTCAGCACAAAGGAGAAAAAGGTGTTTCTGAAAACAGGAGCTCAGCCATTACCAGGGTAAAATATTTATGACGGAGTAAGTCTAGCAATGCCACTAGAAGCTTTCCAGTCCCTTTGTTTGTAGCACCAGCATGCACACAGCACCTTTATTCACGCACATTATTAAGATTGCTTTTCTATTCATTCTCCAACAAGAGAATCTCTAGCAACAGTTATCAAGGGATTAGTTAAAAATCAACAGATCTCAGCAGCGGCAAAGCCAGAAACAGAACCCAAAGGTGCCATCCCTCATTTCTGTTTTTCTAGAATGATGGAATCCCAGGTTGGAAGGGCACTCAAGGATCATTTGGTCCAAACTTTCTTAGCAAAAGCCCGGTCTAGACAAGACGGCCCTGCGTCCTGTCCAGCTGAATCTTAAAAGTGTCCAGGAACGGGGGAAGACCCAAGCAGGGCTTCTGCATGCCCAAAACAGCAATACTGACAGGGTCTGGCCACAAAAGTTGCCCAGTAACAGTGAGCACTGTATGCAAGTAAAAGTCCTGGCATAAAAAAAGAAGAAACAATGCTAATTCTTCTCCCAGGAGAGCAAACTATAAGCATACCCTTGCAGTTTGGCATGATAAGGCACAGTGCTACAAACAAACATTATACAGACTCCACGTTTTGCAGTTTTGGGGCAACGTTTAAAAGATTTCATTCCAAGCTCACAGGAGAAGCACCTGGGTGTGGTTAGATGGGAGCGCTGCTTCTCACCCCGAGTTTTCACCGAGTTGATGGAAGAGGAAACGTGGGTGCTGTGTCCTGGCTCTGGCAGCCTGTTACCGGACCCTTTTACAAAGCCCACGCAATCAATTCACAGAAACAGAATAGAGAGGGAAGCAAAAAACCAACAACAAAAAAAGCAGATTCCACACCTCCGCTTCATCTGTCCGGAAATAGAAGAGAAAGTTGACAACAAGCTTCACGAGGCGTTTCTTCACTGCAAAGAAAAAGAGCATTGAGGTGGGCAGAGTGGCAGAGGGAAGTCCCTTCCACCCCTGCCAGCACCCAGCATGGCACCCATTCAACCGAACCACAGGGTCACAAAGTCACTTTGCAGCTTTTCAAGTGGCTTCTGGGCAAACAGTGTCATGGACATGCACACGCCACAGCTGATGGGACCTCAGCCGCTCCCAGGGAACACTCCAAACCCTGGGGGAGGCCCTGCCTGGGGCTGCCAGCACAAATGTCACCTCTGAGGGACAAAGTCCACCAGAACACTGCAGGTCCTTTGGTGGAGGAAAGGCCCAGGACAGGGGAAGGAGTTTCTTTAACGTTTGTACTCCAGCACTGGTTTGCAAAGAAATTTGCTTTGAGATTTCAGGAAAGAGCCACTTCT